TGTTATACCTTTTATTACTTTTTTTAATTTTTTTGTTTCATTTTCTGATTCTAGAATTCTTTATCCTCTAAATCTTATCCAACTTTCTTTCCCACTAGTTTATTATACAGGCTGTCTCAGCGAGTTGAAAAAGTCTATTAGTGATCTTTAAATGGTAAAATTAAAAAAAAATAGGACATTGATCGATGCTAATCTAGTCCACCGCCTAAAATTATTTACAACTATACAGTCTGTCTCAAAAATAAGTTACAATACAAACTTGTGTTTTTTTAAATGGAACACCATAATGTTTCTTAGCGTTTTTGGATGTAGATTTTTATGACAATGTTTAAACTTTTATTGGTCGATTTTGCTTAGTTTTAAAAATAAGACGATTTTTTTTAAGAAAATGCACTTTTTAAAAAATTATTAAACAACAACTAAGACATCTAGAAATATTTTTTTTACTACCGCAAAGAAGAAGGTAACATTTTTTTTAGTGTGTTGCATATCCAAAGATCAAAAAATGAAGACGTTTGTTAAAAGTTCAATAACTTACAAAATTAAAATGAAACACCACCCTATTTATATTGTTTTTGCATAAAAGATTATTAGGTGTTAATAATCAAAAACTAAAAAGATATTTAACGTTAAACATTTAAAAAATAATCAGGTACTATTGCTTCAGTAGCCAAAAAGTGCACAGTTGCACAAGAGATGGAAAAAATATCACTTAATAATCACATTTGTGTTAAACTGAATCCATTATCCTTTATTTTACAATAAAATAATTCGAATTTCAGTATTTATAACGACTTTTACAATCTCTGGAATCTGGATAAATTAACGGATAAGGAATTACTATGGTTGCCATAGTATCAACAATGCTCAGATATTGATAGGCATTGTTGCTACAATTAATATTGAATGTTAAATATCTTTTCATTTATGAATTGTAAACATTAAAACTTAATTTTTTTAAGTGGCTTTTAGTAAATTTTACAGGGCACCATTTATAATATTTGCACATAAACCCTAATCTTTAGGAGTATTAATTAAATTATGTTCCTGTTTTATACTTCTGTATGTATTTAACTAATTATAATAAGTTTTTACCTTCGAAATATGTCAAATTATCCAATATCAATTTATTTTCTAAATTGTGCACGTACTTAGATCCTTATGGCCCTCAAATGGGAAAAATATTTCATACGTAGTATCGATTAAAAATGTTGTGAATTTGTTATTGTCCTTTTGAACAATAATTACTTACTTTTTACTTTATTCTCGGGTTTTTAACTAATAAATGTGGTACTTTATTCCCTCCGGAAGGAAATAAATGATATACTGATTTTTACTCTTAAAATAAATGGAATTGAATGAATCGAACCTTTTAAGTGTTTTTTGAAATAAACAAACATTTTGATATTGTTTTTTATTCGTAAAATTGTAATTATTATTGATTGTACTGAATATTTTGAAAAATTATTTTTCTTAAATTACGTTTTTCTTTCATTTTTTTGGTTACCTTTTACGCTAGCGTCTATACTGATTTTCTAATTTTAGAACAATATCATCATCTAAATTTATATCTGAGAACTATATGGAACTAATTTAAACAATTTTCTTGGTTTGAGATTTTTTTCATCAATATTGTACCCGGAACTTTTTGGTTCTAACAATTGTCGGAAAAGCGCACTTACAACTAAAAAGCACCGACTCTAACTTTTATAATTTTGATATAAATGTTCTATGATGGATTTCTTCATGTATTGGCATGAGAGGATAGATCATAAAAATACATTATTTTAAAAATAAAAAAATGTCACTTGGAACCTTGTGGTTCTCAGGTCGCGCAATGTCCTATACAATTTTTTTTAAATTTTACCATTTAAAAGTCACTAATGGTCTTTTTCAACTCGCTGGGACATCTGTACACAGCCGAAATGAGAAATCTCCGAGGGTTCAAGTTTTTGAATAAAAAAAAAATATTTTTCTAACAAAGTTGGTGTGCTCGTATCGTTGGCAATCGTGCATAAATCACTTCCCAACCAATGGGTGGAATAGTGTATTTCCCGACCTCTAAAAGGTTACTACAGTGATAGTGTGAGTAAAAACTGTTTCATACTTTTTTAGTGGTGTTTTTTTATAGTTCTACTTTTGTGTTCTTGGTGATATCTGCAATTATGTTAATTGTTTAGTGGACCGGTGCATGAAGGTGCAATTATGGCAGTCCCAGGCGTGTGTAAGGCCCAATGCATCTTTCTATCCTAGACGCAGATTCATTGGAATTCCCCGTGGTGTGCACATCGCTAGTGCACTCGTGAAAAATTTTAAATCGGTGAATAACCGAATAACGTAACAAAAAGAGAAATTTGCTTATTGCATTTAGCAACGGTCGTAACCACTCGAGTTCCTTTTGCTGCGACCGCATATGAACCAAGAGATCACATTACCACCTGTTGTTAAACGAAGTAAATATCATTAGCTGGGTATTTATTTCATTGTGTTACTTATCGGTCGTCATTTTACCTCCGCCGTCAATACAAAACCAGGAAACTAGAACGAATCGGGCAAGCAGTTGCAGAAGAATTGCTAGAAGAAATCGACATTGTGAGTTTGAAACTACGTTATTCCCAATAATTACCGGGAATCCAGGTCAAATTTTTCATTTCGAAGTGAGTGCATCGAGTATTGAGTGGAACCGGCGCATTCCACAACGATTATTATTCAGTGGTTGCTTTT